TGATGTAACTTCAGATATTGGGTGGCTATTTTGTCTCTTTATCTAGCATATCAATAAAACATTAAAAAGCCATCTACAGGACGAACTAAAGCTTGTGTGGTGAACCAATCCCATGTTTAACTTCAACATCACAACTAATCTCTTCAATGTATGACCTGTGAATGACCTGCGTCGAACACAAAGACCCCATATTGAGCATTCAATGCCTACAAATCTTATCATTCAATAAGCAACAGCTACATAGACCTGACACTGCTATACCAGCACTACTTGTTCCATGAAGACTGTACCACCAGCTTGTATATAGAAGTCGTCAGTTATCCTCGATTCAGGTGACTAGAAGAAGCATGGAACTGTTTAAGCACGATTCTGGTCTGGATATGGGGTTCAAATCTTTATGAATCCTTAAAGGTCTCACAGTCAGTAAACTGCATTATTTTCCCTTCTGCCCAGCCCTTTATGCAATGCTAAAGCCCTAAATGAAGCAAGTCTAGATTTCTTGGTTCTGAAACTTCCAGCTCACTGGGCAACTTTTCAGTTTAAAAGGAATTGTTTGTTACCAACATTATATACATTCAGAGACTTAAGTATTAGTCTAGGTCAAGGGGTAAGAAGGCAGCTGCTCTACAGGCCAGTTGCCCCATGCCACGCCTTGGAAACTGTTCCTAGGAAAACTGGAACATTCCCACCCTACCTAGAAACACTGCCCTAATCCCCATTGAGGAAAACTGTTTCTTGGTAAACTGCCCTCAACCCCACTGAGGAAAACTGGTTGTTGGTAATCTGCCCTCACCCCACCAAGGAAAACTGTTTCTAGGTAATCTGCCCTAACCCCATTGAGGAAAACTGTTTCTTGGTAAACTGCCCTCAACCCCACTGAGGGAAACTGTTTCTAGGTAATGTGCCCTAAACCCCATTGAGGAAAACTGTTTCTTGGTAAACTGCCCTCAGCCCCACTGAGGAAAACTGTTTCTTGATAAACTGCCCTCAACACCACTGAGGAAACGTGTTTCTTGGTAAACTGCCCTAAACCCACTGAGGAAAACTGTTTCTTGGTAAACTGCCCTAATCCCCACTGAGGAAATGTGTTTCTTGGTAAACTGCCCTAAACCCCACTGAGGAAAACTGTTTCTTGGTAAACTGCCCTACTCCCCACTGAGGAAAAGTGTTTCTTGGTAAACTGCCCTAATCCCCACTGAGGAAATGTGTTTCTTGGTAAACTGCCCTAAACCCCACTGAGGAAAACTGTTTCTTGGTAAACTGCCCTAATCCCCACTGAGGAAAACTGTTTCTTGGTAAACTGCCCTAATCCCCACTGAGGAAAACTGTTCCCTTGGAAACTCCTGAACGAATTGTAACATTCCAAAATTCCCTGAAGAAACTTTGAATTTGGAATTAACAATTTTAAAGAGTAAAACACCACTTCTATTTTTCTAAATTCATAATTACTAAGACCTGATACCCTTGAATCAGCTAAAGTGACCATAATTTGTGGAAATGCTGCCTTGCAGGGTCCCTTATCATCCAACATCACGTTAATCATTGGATTATCAGGTCCAGGCTCAATTATTTACAGAGTCATCATATATCTTCAAGATTAAACAAAGTTTCAAAAAGACACACTACATGTGGACTAACCATACAAAATGTCTAAAAAAATACCAAAACTGCTGAATATTTTGTTTGCATTTATCTGCAAAAGGTGTCTGCGAAACAGCTTCAAACCAACAGAAGTGACAACTGTATTCATGTAACAGATTTACAAATTCAACCCACCAGCCACTTATAGAACACCTGTGAAAAGACAGATTTCTCTCAGCTCATTCGTTGAAAACAGATCATTTAAAAAATTATAATAAAATGTTATTCAGAGCTTTAATGGAATGACTGACTTCATTACTAAACTTATTACCAGGGATTGATTACCAAGGATTGATTACAAGGATTGATCAATCCTCTGCCTGACTGACTTGACAAACTTGGTGAGTGAAGAATGCAATCAGAGCTGGTAAACAAAGCAATCTCAGCACTAAGACTATCATGCCATACTGTATCACAGACTTATGGTACCTGTAGTGCTAAGACGATAATAGCTTCTACAACAAAGACATTTTCATCTTTTGAACGGGGTGGTGGGGAAGCCTAGTGGTTAAAGTGTTCTCTCAAGATCCTAGTTTGATTCCCCACATGGGTACAATGTGTGAAGCATATTTCTGGTGTCCCCTGCTGTGATATTGCTGGAATATTGCTAAAAGTAGGTAAAACTAAACTCACTCACTCATCTTTTGAGGACATTTTCATCTTTTGAGTGAGTTCATCACAGCTTTGAACAATATTTCAGTAATATCACAGCTTGACCATTGCCAAAAGAGTTATGTGCTCAGTTCTCACACATCATCAACCTTGATTAAAGTATGGAAGAATAACAATACATGGATGAACCACTTCTTTATTACAGTGAAAGCGACATTTTGGTGTAAGTTCTACCACTATTATCATCACCTGCTTGATAAACCACCTCTGTGGTGTAGTGGTTAGAGCGTCCGCCCGGAGAGCGGAAGGTCGCGGGTTCGATCCCCGACCGCGTCATACCAAAAGACGTTAAAATATGGTACCTGTTGGTCCCTGTCTGGCGCTCAGCATTAATGGGTACAACAAGGACTGGTCGGCTCGGAGTCAGTATAATGTGTCTGAGTGGGGTACTTATGCTTCACTGCGGCATGGTATCTCAGTGGGCTAGCACTATAAAACTAGCTTTAGTCTGGGCTAGTACAAGCAGCCGCACATACACACGCATGCACGTCGTCATATGAGCGAAATAATCTCAGGCACGACGTTAAAACCCAATTTCATCTCACCTCACCTGCTTGATAAGAGTGTATAAAAAGTAACGAAGAAGTTGTTCATGCATGTAATGTTATACTTCTTTTGTACTTCAACTTCTAAATGCCTCTTAAACAAATTTCACTGATGTAACCTGCACTGTTATGGTCTGACAGACCAACATATATAATCATGATGTACAACTGATCCTACAACCCCTAAGGGACACAACTCTGACACAACTGAGCTGACAAAGCCCCCATTCACACAAACTTTCAATCCTTATTGCTGTTTGAAACACTTCAGACAGAGGGCAAACATTATGGTTGCCAGACTTAGAAATTCAGAGATTTTTTTTAGCTTGTACTGTTTAAAAAAGATATGAATATCTAGTTTGTTCACATTTCAGTCAGTTTTTATTCAGTTACAATTTGTAGCAGCATAGAAGCATTGAGAACATGTTCAGAATGGCACTCCTCAAAATGCTATGTCAATGAAGACTTCCACCATTGGATTTTACTTGTCAGCACAACTAAACAGGCTAGTCGACCAGCAGAGATTTCAAAGGCTGGAGTGCATGTCGTAAATGACTATAAAGGAAACATCCCCCATTGTAGCAGGTGTTTCATTGTGAACAAACTGACTCCAACTCCTGTTCCCCTCAACACAATAAACACCACAATGAATTACTTCAATAATTTCACTACACCAAACAAATTACATAACATCTGTAGGAGTTTTTGACACATCAACAAAATTCAGCCATTACAAGGCCACTAACCAGCATGTTACTTCTGGCAGACTAGAAAGATTAAATTCAGGTTTGACATGTAAAGAATAATTGTCTTCAGAATAGGGATGCCACGATACATCGATACTTTTTCTAAGACGATACAATTATCGATACATTCAAAACTGTATCGATATTTAGTTTTGAAAGTATCACTTTAAATATGAAATATTAATGTTCAAAATGTAACTAAATTTACGCAATAATGCCATGAAAATAGGCATCGTGATATGTATCAAATCGTGACATGGGTATCGTGATACGTATCGATTCATGAAGCTTATGTATCGTGACATCCCTACTTCAGAATGATAGGATTGATTAGTTGTATATCCAGAGAAAGGTTTCTTAATGTAAAATAACAACATTTTGGGGAAGTCACATCGAAATCCTTCTAAAATTTGAACAGGATAGTCCAATGTAGGTATTCTGGATTAGAATTGGCTTGGTTGATTGTGAGTTGGAGTACGTCAAATATTGCTTAATGTGGTGTTGTACAACAGACTAATGACAACCTGGAATGACCACATACTGATAAAAACTAACAGCTTTAGGGACTCTTCATAATTTATGGCTAGTGGGGGTGGTGATGTGAACGGGGGTTCACCCATTTTGTTCTGTGGAGGTGGGGGTTTTCATCAATTTTGTACACATGTACTAGGGGCGGCAGCAATTTTGTAGGTAAAAATGTTTAAAAATTATGCTTAAAAGTGTGTGTGTGAGTGTGTGTGTGTGTGTGTGTGTCAATCACATTGTACATGCTATTCCATAAAAATCACCACCACCACCCCTTGTCATAAATTATGAATGGTCCCTTAGTCCTTAGTCTTTACAAGGCTTTGATTTGATATAAAAATCTGTCAATGTTTCATCACACAGAATTGTCACAACATGATATGGTATCCTTGAAGACATTCTTATAGGTGCACACCTGGTGCTACTAAAAAATTATATTCAAAAAGTAAAAAAATATGCACATAAAATTAAGCCACCTACTGGCAAACAAGGGTAAGTTGAGCACCGACCTGACAATTGACCCGTCATGTATGAGTGCCGCCCACTGGCCCTTGCCATTGTGAGTTAAGGGGCCCCAGGTTGTCTGCGATCAAGTGTAGTGCTACACCGACCACGTGAGAGTCTTATGAGCCTACATCTGCTCTACCTTTCACAAACCAAATGGGTTTGCTCATTGCCGTGCACCACCTGCTTCTCGTAAAAGCGTTCTCTGCACCAGCCCAACTTATCCTTGTTTGCCAGTACCCTATTTTTAAAAAACATGTAATAGGAAACGGACATATATTGGCCTTACTGGGCAGTTTAGCAAAGATTACCATAAGTATATGTTTCTGTCAAAACCACAAGGTGTAAATGAATTCTAATGACGTACCCATGCCAAGCTTGACCATACCAGTGATGATGACGATGACGAGGGCTAGCACCTTCGTGGCTGTGAAGATGTCCTGTGTTCGGGTGGCCCATTTCACATTCGTACAGTTGATAAACGTAAGAAGAGCTGGAAATAAAACAGATATTGGTAACTCAGTAGTATATGAGAAATCATCAAAATATAAATACATTGAGGTTCAGATTATATGAAATTTCAGAAATATGGTTACACAGGTATAATTTATTTTCCAAAATGTGTTATGCTACAGAATTATTCGACCAACATTTCTGTTGCTATGGAGTTAGTTAGTGACAAAGCTTCAGGTTGCAAAATACAGTTTGGGTGGGATTCAACTCTTTGCCCATTGAAGTGTTTACCCGTGAAGATCCAGGTTAGAATTAGTCTTCAGTAACCCATGCTTGTCATAAGAGGCGACTAACGGGATTGGTTGGTCAGGCTCGCTGACTTGGTTGACACATGTCATTGTATCCCAATTGTGTAGATTGATGCTCATGCTGTTAGTCACTGGATTGTCTGATCCAGACTCAATCATTTACAGACTGCCGCCATATAGCTGGAATACTGCTGAGTACGGCGTTAAACAAACCAACCAACCAACCTTGAAGTGTTTGATGGATATATTTTTGTGTTCTCTGTTTGTCATGACCTTGATCAATTTTGCCTCTTTATATTAATAGATATGAGAAGGTTCTTGTCACAAAATACTGACTATTTACGAGACATGGATTTATTGTAATGGCAGGAATCACAAAAGATGCCAATGACATTACATAATTTACAAAATGAGAAGAATTATGTGGAACAAATCTCATCTCAGTATAAGAACTATACTTAAACTGGACTATAAAAAATCAAATCTGGCAAAGAGAGACCACGCACTATAAGCAAAAGCAGGGATAGAAATACTTTTTTTTCTAAGTGTGCCTTAGGGCACCAGACAAATATTTTAGGTGTGCCTTTCAGAAATTGAGTATGCCCACATGTTTTTAGAATAAATGACAATGATGATGATCATTTGAAATTTTTTGTTAAATAAAGAAATGGGTTTATGAGCATTCAAATATGTATGGTATTATTTAATTTGGAAAAAAATAATTGTTTTGGGGATCAAATGACTAAATGTGAGTTATGTCTCTGAAAAATCAGGCATGTCAAAAGGGCACCGAGAACATTTTTTTAGCGGTGCCATTTCAATAATTACCGGGCCAAGGCACACTACTATATGGGGTATTTCGAACCCTGAAAAGGAACTCTTTGCCTTGTGAGGGCAGAAGACAATGGTCTAGTCACCCCTCCTGATTTCAAACTAGATAAGAGATGATTCAGTATTTTGGCCATGTGGCCCAGAGTACAATTCCGTGAACAAAACATAGTCGCAGTCACGTGACTGATTAAACATTTGTCAAATTAACAACTCCTGGAAATCCTGATTGAATCCTGCAGCCAAACTGTATTTTGCTACATGTAGCATTGTTACTGGTTTGGGAACTCCAAATAAAGAGGGCGGTGGGGTAGCCTAGTGGTTAAAGCGTTGGCTCGTCGCGCCGAAGATCCGGGTTCGAATCCCCACATGGGTACAATGTGTTAAGCCCATTTCTGGTGTCCCCCTCCGTGATGTTGCTGGAATATTGCTAAGAGCGGCGTAAAACCAAACTCAGTCAGTCAGTCCAAACAAAGACTGGTTGTTTGGTTGGTTTGTTGTTTGATGTCTCACTCAGCAATATTCCAGCTATATGGTGGTTGTCTGTAAATAATCGAGTCTGGACCAGACAATCCAGTGATCAACAGCATGAGCATAAATCTACATAAATGGGATCCACTGAGGTGTCAACAAAGTCAGCAAGCCTGACGACAAGCATGAGTTGCTGAAGATCAATTCTAACCCGGATCTCCACGGGTCCCGAACCAAGATCTAATCCACGGGTCCCGAACCAAGATCTAATGGTACAAAATGCATGTGAAACATGAACATGCAGGGTCTTTCAATTGCAGCACTTGAGTATGTTGAACACTTTGATAATTTGTTCATAAGGAAGATTCAAATCTATTGAAATGGCCTTTAATGGTCTTTCAAATTGCACAAAAAATTGAAATCATTAAATAAATAATAAACAAAATTACGATTAATTCACATGTTGATGGTACATTTCTGTAGGCATACGAGGGTGGACAACTAATATACATTGACATGACTGAGGACAGACTTCAAATTCACATTCTCAATTTTGAAATTTATCTCAAAGTGCTCAAAAAATTATAAATTCCGTACAAGTTCTGAACAAAAAGTCACATTCTGCTACATTTCTACACCAAAGGGAAAGCTCTGCCAACATTCCAATCCCACACTTTTATGAAATACAATCACTGGACTGTCTGGTCCATTCTTGATTATAACCAGCTTGCCGTACCCATGTGGGGAATAGAACCCAGGTCTCCGGCATGACGAGACAAAGCTTTAACCACTAGGCTACCCCACTGCCTCGAAACACTATCAATACAAATGCATGACATTGTTTGGAAACACAGACTAACAGGAATTAATCAAACTGATAATGAATGTCGCCATATTTGAATTTGGAGGTCAATCAATTCCTGTTTCAGGTCTGCATCCTGTGTATGCCATGCAGTTTAGACAACCAGTCTATTTAAACAACTTTGGTCGTGAAAAGTCTTTTGAGCGATGACCATGTGCAGTAGGGTCTTTTTTACACTTTGTTTGAAACATGCCTTTTATCACCCAGCAGATAATGGGTACCCAGTGGGATGTCATACTGAACACTTTGTTTGAAACATGCCTTTTATCACCCAGCAGATAATGGGTACCCAGTGGGATGTCATACTGAACACTTTGTATGAAACATGCCTTTTATCACCCAGCAGATAATGGGTACCCAGTGGGATGTCATACTGAACACTTTGTATGAAACATGCCTTTTATCACCCAGCAGATAATGGGTACCCAGTGGGATTTGATATTGAACACTTGGTATGAAACATGCCTCTTATCACCCAGCAGATAATGGGTGCCCAGTTGGATGTCATACTGAACACTTTGTATGAAACATGCCTATTGTCAACCAGCAGATAAAGGTTACCCAGTAGGATTTGATATTGAACACTTTGTATGAAACATGCCTTTTATCACCCAGCAGATAATGGGTACCCAGTGGGATGTCATACTGAACACTTTGTATGAAACATGCCTTTTATCACCCAGCAGATAATGGGTACCCAGTCGGATGTCATACTGAACACTTTGTATGAAACATGCCTTTTATCACCCAGCAGATAATGGGTACCCAGTGGGATGTCATATTGAACACTTTGTATGAAACATGCCTTTTATCACCCAGCAGATAATGGTTTGAAAACATGCCTACCCAGTAGGATGTGTAGGATGTCATACTGAACACTTTGTTTGAAACATGCCTTTTATCACCCAGCAGATAATGGGTACCCAGTAGGATGTCATACTGAACACTTTGTATGAAACATGCCTTTTATCACCCAGCAGATAATGGGTACCCAGTAGGATGTCATACTGAACACTTTGTTTGAAACATGCCTTTTATCACCCAGCAGATAATGGGTACCCAGTAGGATGTCATACTGAACACTTTGTTTGAAATAATGGGTACCCAGTGCCTTTATCACCCACCCAGCAGCAGATAATGGGTACCCAGTAGGATGTCATACTGAACACTTTGTATGAAACATGCCTTTATCACCCAGCAGATAATGGGTACCCAGTGGATGTCATACTGAACACTTTGTATGAAACATGCCTTTTATCACCCAGCAGATAATGGGTACCCAGTGGGATGTCATACTGAACACTTTGTATGAAACATGCCTTTATCACCCAGCAGATAATGGGTACCCAGTGGATGTCATACTGAACACTTTGTTTGAAACATGCCTTTATCACCCAGCAGATAATGGGTACCCAGTGGATGTCATACTGAACACTTTGTTTGAAACATGCCTTTATCACCCAGCAGATAATGGGTACCCAGTGGATGTCATACTGAACACTTTGTTTGAAACATGCCTTTGCAGATAATGGGTACCCAGTGGGATGTCATACTGAACACTTTGTATCACCCTTTATCACCCAGCAGATAATGGGGTACCCAGTGGATGTCATACTGAACACTTTGTTTGAAACATGCCTTTATCACCCAGCAGATAATGGGTACCCAGTGGGATGTCATAATTGAACACTTTGTATGAAACATGCCTTTTATCACCCAGCAGATAATGGGTACCCAGTAGGATGTCATACTGAACACTTTGTATGAAACATGCCTTTATCACCCAGCAGATAATGGGTACCCAGTAGGATGTGATATTGAACACTTTGTATGAAACATGCCTCTTATCACCCAGCAGATAATGGGTACCCAGTAGGATGTGATATTGAACACTTTGTATGAAACATGCCTTTTATCACCCAGCAGATAATGGGTACCCAGTGGGATGTGATATTGAACACTTTGTATGAAACATGCCTTTATCACCCAGCAGATAATGAGTACCCAGTGGGATGTGATATTGAACACTTTGTATGAAACATGCCTCGTATCACCCAGCAGATAAAGGTTACCCAGTAGGATTTGATATTGAACACTTTGTATGAAACATGCCTCTTATCACCCAGCAGATAATGGTTACCCAGTAGGATGTGATATTGAACACTTTGTATGAAACATGCCTCTTATCACCCAGCAGATAATGGGTACCCAGTGGGATGTGATATTGAACACTTTGTATGAAACATGCCTATTGTCAACTTATCACCCATATTGAACAGATGAAACATGCCTCTTATCACCCAGCAGATAATGGGTGCCCAGTTGGATGTGATATTGAACACTTTGTATGAAACATGCCTCTTATCACCCAGCAGATAATGGGTGCCCAGTTGGATGTCATATTGAACATTTGGTATGAAACATGCCTCTTATCACCCAGCAGATAAAGGTTACCCAGTAGGATTTGATATTGAACACTTTGTATGAAACATGCATCTTATCACCCAGCAGATAATGGGTACCCAGTAGGATGTGATATTGAACACTTTGTATGAAACATGCCTCTTATCA